CCCCCCCCCCCCCACTCACTGCTCTGGCTTCACATCCCAGCTACATGACCAAGAACGCAGGACACAGCAGGAGCTAGACTGGCCAGGCAGGCTCCGCATGGGGCCAGCCAAAAATCACAGGGGCCAGGCCAGCTTCTGCTGCGTCCTGTGGCTCGGCACTGCAGCTGGGAACCATGTGGTACCAAAGCAACCAGCAGGAAGTGGAGGGGTACGATGGCAGCGGCAGGCAAATGTATGTGGCAGGTGGGGGGGTGGCAGTGATCAGGTGCATGGAGTGTAACAACAGCTGGCAGGGAGTACGGGCTCATGTGGTGCGCCAGGGCCAGCACCGGAGAGGCCCAGAGCAGGGTGGCACGAGCATGGGATGCAGGCCAGCAGGGACTCCATGGAGCTGGGCTGGGCTGCACCAGAGAGGGGGGAGCTGGGCCAGTTCCATAGAGCCCTGCCAGCCTAGCCCTGTGCTTCTGCCACCCTGCTCTGGGCCCCTGGTGGCCCTGGCGCACCGGTGTGGATCCCGCACTCCTGCCCAGCTGCTGCTGTGCTCTGCATGCCTGTTCGTTGCCCCTTGCCCCCGCCTGCTGCTGCTTTCAGTGCTTTCTTGTCTGTGGCTGCCACTGCTCCTCTCGATCCCCCTCCCACCACCTACTTGGGTACCACATGGCTCCCAGCTGCAGCCCCAGGACTGCAGCAGCTAGCTCAGCCCAACCCTGAGGACTGGGGTGATTGGCTGCAATTCTTCCCTGCCCCTTCCCCCCCCCCTTCTTATCTGAATTTCCAGGTGCAGGGAGTCAGGAACAGCCCCAGGGCCCAGGCCAGTACCCTTTGCTCCACACAGGGCTTCTGGCTGGGAGAAAGGGTGGGCAGGACCCCAGGCCTTACTTCTGCAGCTGCTTGATCCTGCCAGTGGCTTCCCCTGAGTCCTACTGCCCCTGTCTTTTGTCAGCTTTGACAGGCAGCCAGGAGCAGATAAATATTCATTTTCTAAATTTTTTGGGGGTCCTGTGGGCCAGATAGAATGGCCTGGTAAGCCAGATCCAGCCCCTGGGCCATATTTTGCCTGCCCCTGGTCTATATGCAGGTCAGCCTCTCCCCTGCTGGTCATTTGACCTGGTCACCTGGTCACAGTGGCTAAGTACTACTAATTCCCCAATCAGCAGCTCAGCATTCTGCAGGCTGGGCCCTGCAGATTATGTACCTGTGTTGCTGATGCCCACCATTTCTTGTAGGTAGGTTTTCTGTAAGCAGCACTTGCACTTGTTGTGCGCTGTCTTCAGTTCTGTTTCCCAGGACCCCAACTCTTCAGTGATTTAATATTGTTTCATCAGTGGAAGGAATGTTGCATATCCTTGGTATTTTTTACAAATAAGTGAAAAACAAACAGATAAAGTTGTATAGGATTGGTACAGATATACAAAGGAATTATACTGGTTGAAAAAGAAGGGTACACCCCCCCTTTTAGGCTCTTCAGTTGCTACAGTTCCATGAATCTGCTGTATACTGCAGCAAGTGAAAGCTAAACTACAGTAATTGAGTCTAGGGACAGACTTTCAAAAAGCCTGAGCCTGAATTGATTCAATCTTTGCAGGTTAGTTGATTGAATCAGTTTACAACTGACAGCCATTCCCTCTGGGGTGAGGAAAAGCAGGCACATGCCTGCAGTGGCTCAGGCTAGAAGTCAGGGGCACTAGAGCAGCTCTCCATTCCCTTCAATAGTTCTGAACTGGGGGTGGGGGTGCAGCCAGGTCCAGGTAGGATGCTCTGATTAGGGAGGGGTGTAAAGTCCCGCTGTGGCTGCACTGTCCCAGGCTTTTCCCCATGCACTGCTCAAGGGGTGGGAATGTTGCCAGCACCCAGCCTCCAGCTAGCACTCTGAGGCAAAGTAGGGGGTGTGCAGTGCATGCATCTGTTGATGATACTGAGCTTTTCAATCTTTTTCTACGCGCTTCTTCATACTGTCTGCAAACCTGATAGGCATGGGAACCAGCAGGGAATTGATAACACAACGTTTATCAGCCCATCAACAAAACAAATGCCTTTCTCATTGGTTTAAACTGTATTTAAACAGCTTTTTCCAAGGAAGGAATGGAGGGACATTACCGGCTGACCAGTTGATTAGCTCCAAAAAACCCTAAGTGGACACTGTTCTGTTTGCCTGTCCTAGTGAAATTGGAGACACATATGCACAGATACCTCTCAGCATTAGCTAGCATACCACATGCCTAGGGTCCGTGGGGCTGGGGTCTGTGCTGTGGGAGATGGGAGGGAGTGAGGGTGGGATCTCTGCTTTAGCAGCAAGCAGCAGAGGGGTTGGGGTAGGGGGAAGCAAGGCAGACCCTGTTATGCTTGCAGTCTCGGCTGAGGCTCTGGCTAGGGAGCAGAGGGGCAGAGCCAGCCCTGTTCTCTAGAGCAGACAGCCCAGCCTGGCCCAGCCCAGGGCTGCACAGCATCTAGGATGCTGGGGGACACTGGTTTAACTTAAGGAAGGGGTGTGCGGCAGATGTTGCATAAACTGGTTTGACCCAAATCAGTTAAGTCTGATACTACATTCAACCAGGTTTATCTTAAGCCATTTTCAGCCGTTTTGAAACTGGTTTATGTGCACTGAACTTATGTTCTGCTACAGGTTTAAACCAGTTTCTGATCACTAGTTTATATGTAATTTCTGTCTCTAGCCTGAGAGTGATTTCATTTCAATGTAAGTTGCTCCTATGTAGCTTAATTTCCTGAAGAATATGAGTCAACATACAAAACAGTGATGGTACGTACCCACAAGCGGTAAGTTTCACGTAAGCTTCTTAGAGCACAATAATGGTTTCATCTGTCTACAGCCAGTGTTAATTTGAAATTAGGTATACCAAACTGCATCTGATCTTTGTCCAGAGAACATTTAATACAGTTTTTTAAAATCTGCTTTAGCATAGGTATTACAGTGGGCCCATGTATATTTGCAGAAGAGCAAGAATCCAGCCCCTCTAATTCAGGGACATTTTCTATAGCAACTTGCCTTTAGACAAACAATTTTGTTCCTTTCCAGATAAGATCTGTGATCAGATCAGCGATGCTGTGCTAGATGCCCATCTCAAACAAGATCCAAATGCCAAGGTTGCTTGTGGTAAGGATACATATATTTTCTTTTTTCCACTTAAATGAGTGCATACAATCGCCAAACTGCCATTTCCCCTTTGTAATATAGTTACATAAGAGTTTGATGTTATCACATGCTAGTTCATTCCTAACTCTAATTACAGTGTTTAGAATCTATATATAGCAAAACAAGGAAGTTCAAAACAAACAATAATATAGTGTCACTACTTTGTTTCTCAAAGAAGCACTGAAAGTCCATTGTGTTCAATGATCAGAAATAGGTCAGGTTTCTCTAAAGAGTGAGCCTAGATCAATCAAACCAATGGTGTCATCATAAATGTAATTAGTATTCTTAGGGAAAAGAGAATAGAATTCTAATATAGTGGATCATCCAAAGAACCCTTGGCTACCTCTAAAAAAGTGCAGTTCCTTGGATTTATATAGATTTTTTATTTTTCATTGCTAGCTCCAGTTTTATTCCTAACTGCGTAAGGATTCTTCTTGAAATGAAGGTGTTTCATAGGTCTTTTGATTCACTACAAAAACAACTTTTGGTTTCAGTGGGCACATCTACACATGCACTTAATTTGCAGCAATAAACTCTGGCACTTATTGCTCCAGAGTTTGTTGCTCCTGGGCATGCTGTTTGAAAGTGCACCTGGGACTGCAGCAGTTTGGGGGGTCAGCCTGCAGCCCCGGGCTGCCCAAATCTTTCTCAATGTGCTATGGAGGGGCTGCTTGGGGCACAAGGGTGCTCCAGTGTGGAGCACGCTCGCAGCAGGCTAGTACTTGTAAATAAAAATACTATCCTGCTGTGGAGTTTAGTTTCGTATGGCGTAATAGGCCCACACATGTTTACTGCGAGTCTACTCTGCAGTAAATGTCTCATGTAGATGTTCCCAGTAACTCCCTCTTCAAATGGAGGTACATTTGTGAATTGGTTGGTCATTGGTAGAGTTTATTTGGCCTAAATTTACTCCTTAAACAAAGAGGATGCTCTTGTGGTAAAAGCACTGGAATAGGACTCAGGAATCTTAGTTAATTTGTACGTTGTGACATCAGGTAGGTTACTGAATCTCTCTGGGCCTCAGTTTTTCTATCTGTAAATACCATTGATTCTCTACTTCACAGTGGCGTAGTGAGGACAAAGGGATTCATACATGTAACGTGCTAACCCTATGGAGACCTGAGTACAAATACCTACATTGCTTGTGTTCAGTAGGGTTCTTCAGTTCAGTATTATTAGAAGCAGAGTTATTTGTAATAGCATACTGAGTTATCCAACCAATCCTAATTCTGTTTTCTTTTAATCTTTCTTTTGCCTGTAGAGACAGTATGTAAGACAGGAATGGTGCTGCTGTGTGGGGAGATCACATCTCTTGCTGTAGTGGATTATCAGCGAGTAGTGCGAGATACAATTAGGCACATCGGCTATGATGATTCAGCTAAAGGTTTGTAGAAAAACTCAAGAATCTGATTTCTGGGTGACATAACATGCTGAATAGGAGGTAACTACAAGATAAATCTGTCTCCCTGTGCATATTTATGTTCTTGCAAGCCCAGTGAAATTGTTTATCTTCTTTTGGTACTACCATAAGAGAAACATACTGCCATCTTTTTCTGAAGTGGAGAAACTATTTACTTCATGGTTGAAACTTATGGCAAAAAGGGGAGCTGGGATATATTTTGAATTGAAGCATGTTGCCAATGTAGGATTAACTATTAATTTACATATTAGAGTCTATTTTTCAAACTCACTGAAACTTGGATATTACTTAGTGGCCAAGTAAATATTTGTGACATGGAATGAACAGAGGAGATTTGGGTAATTCATTTAATTTTATTCTTATTTATTTCTACTTCCCTTTTTCATGTCCTTGTGACAAAGTATTTTAGCAGAATTTGCAGACTTGTTGGAATCTGACAGGGCTGTGCTGTGAGTGCTTCTGCTATGGACTGTCAACCATGTGCCTTAGTGCCTGCACAACCCCAGCCCCTTTTTACTTTCACTGGGGGAACACATCTGTCCTTACTACTAGGTACTTAATGAAAAAAAAACAGACCAAAAAGATAAGACCCTTTTCTAAGTCAGTTACAATCCAAGTCAGATTTATAGAATTGCATATTGCATTAGCAATGAAAAAACAGAATGTTTTATATCTGAGACAAATTTCAGCTTCCTGTACACAATTGCTGTAGACTTAGCAGTTAATTTGTACAAGGTAAATCTTTTACAGTTATGATGAAGTTTGCCTTTTGGCTGAGCTCCTATATAGTTACTGCAATATTTCCAGTGAGAGTATGCTGGGAAAATGTTGTAAGAGAACATCTGTTCATTATTTCCACTGTAACCTGAACAACAATGCTGTAAGAATATGCTGCAAAGTCCAGCAACTTAGAAATTGCTTTTCTTGTGACAGTTTTTAGAAGTAGGAGAAAGATGCACTGCACCTTGTAAAAAAACTTGTCATACACAAACAACAAAAGGAGAAAAGCTAAAAAGAACAAAAACTGGAAATACTGATTTTCCCCTTGTAATATTCCTTTTCTATTGTAGCCTCCGTAAAAGCAAAGAGGGTACTGTGTTCCTCTAGTGGACACATGATGGACTGTGCATGTTTGAAATACAGTTGTTTGATCCTCACATTGATAAGCAACTGTCAGTAATTTAGTAGTTGAACTTCTGTGAGAGGAGGAGAAGAAGGAAAAACAAATTACTTTCTACAGACCTGGAGAAAGGAGATGGAAAATTCTGCTACAATGTTCTTCAAGTCCTTGGCTTATTTTTACCTGTTTGTTTGTCCTTTGAAGGCAAAATTCTACTTTCCAACTTGCACAGCAGATCTTGAATCTGTTTTCCCTACATGTGGGGAACTCCCACTGATTCCCACAGTTTTTCCAGGAAGGTATGGAAAACAGGAGATCAAAGTTCACAGCTGCAAGAGGACAACAGCTGTTTCGAGGAAAGTACAATGCATAACAAATGCTGTTTGGTAGGGCTGTGCAAAACAGCACCGTTCTGCTTCGATTTCCATTTTGACGTTTCAGTGGAACTGTGTTTTGTTTCAAGTTCCATTTCATTTTGAAAGCACTGTTCCATTTTGTTTTGTGGAAACTGTGTCACTGTTTCAATGCTGTTTCAGTGTTTTGCCTATAGGCTATAATGGGGAAGGACAAAACTGCCTATAACTTTGTCATTTCTTGGCTAATTTGGATGAAACTTGCAAGGCTGGTAGCTCCTTTGGAGGGCATGATGCCTGCCAAGTTTCAAGGAGATAGGTGTAGCAGTTTCTGGGAAACTGTGCCTCAAGGTGTTGACAAGCAGGAGCTGCGGAGCAGGAGCAGCTTCCTGTGATCTGGCAGGCAGATTGGGGGCCTGCAACCCTGGGAGGAGACCAGAGCCATGCAGCCCTCCTGGGAGTGTGGGTGGGCCCCCGATCTGCCTGCCAGATCACAGGAGGCTGGTTCTGTTGCTCAGGGCCAGCAGCATCACCAATCTTCCCAGCGCTGGGTGTGGGTTTGTGCCCAGCGCTGGTCCCAGGCAGCAGCAGCACTCTTCTGTGATCCAGCAGGCAGATCAGAGGCCCACACCTGCAGGAGGAGTCTGGCAGAGCCCTCACAGCCTTCCCAGGGGGTTGGGTGGGCCGGTTGGGGGTTGGTGGCTGGTTCTGCAGCCTGGGGCCAGCGGCAGCACCAATCTTCCTGGCGAGGGGTGTGGGCTGTGCCCAGCACCGGTCCCAGGCAGCAGCAGCAGCAGCCTCCTGTGATCTGGCAGGAAAATCGGGGGCCTGCATCCCCAGAAGGAGTCCAGCAGACCCCCGCAGCCCTCCTGGGGGTGCAGGCCCCTGATCTGCCTGCCGGATCGCAGGAGGCTGCCACCTGGGACCGGTGCTAGGCACAACCCACACCTCTTGCTGGGAAGATTGGTGCTGCTGCTGGCCCCAGGCAGCAGAACCAGCCTCCTGTGATCTGGCAGGCAGATTGGGGGCTTGCCCACACCCCTGGGAGGGCTGTGGGGCTCTGTGGGTCTTCTCCCAGGAGTGCGGGGCCCTCATCCGAGGAGGCAGGACCAGCCTCCTGTCGTCTAGCAGAGCCCCGAAGCCATCCCAGGGGTGCAGGGGTGGCCTCTGAATCTGTGCCAAATCACAGGAGGCTGCTGCTGTTGTCTGGGAGCTGCGCTCAAGCCAAGTAAGCCCAGCTTCGAAACTTGAAATGTTTCAAAACTTTTGAAACATTTGAATGCCCTTGTTTCATTTTGAAGCTGTTTTGAAGGCTTTTGTTTCATTTTGATTTCACTGTTTCAAGCTCAAAACACATAGAAACAGCTTGGAAATGTAACACCTGGTGAAATTTTGCACAGCCCTATAGTTCAGTAGTATCACTGTTTGTCCCAAAACAGTAAGTCCATCCCACTGTTCTTTAGGAGTTGCTTTATTGCTAGATATTCTCAGGAACACAAATTTAACAGCAGGGGGAAGAGCGTCAGCAACCTAATTCCTCTGTCACTAAACCTGGATTGATGTTTCCCAAATCAAATGAATCAAAGGTGGAAAACATCTAGAGTATCTTTTCTGTATTCCAGTCAATACAGGAATGAAAGCTCATGCTCTTCGAAGCAGTTAGTCTCCAAGGTTCCCTGCCTTACCTTCTGTCTGGGATGGTTCTTGAGCGTTTTATCCTGTTCCGTTTCAAATGTCTCAAGTGATGGAACATCTGTCATTTTTCTTGTGAGGAAACTGTTGCCTAACAGGAGGCATTGCTAAGAAACTCATTTGATAGGGTAAAGTATCTTTTATTCTTAATTTCATATCATTATCCCTAGTGATAGTTCTTTGAGCATATCGACCTTGGAAATAGAACCTTTCTGGCTTGCTGGAGTAGTAAAAACTGGGGTCTTGTATTTTCTTTCTTTTGATTTCTTATTTTTCATGATGTTTGCATCATTTTCTATGACCATTTCAGCTATAGCCTGTGCCAAAGAGCTAGAAGGATGAAAATTTGCTGTTATGTTATGTGCAGATAAAAATGCTGTATTTGAAATGTAGCACTGACATAAAATTTAAGCAGCAAATACCAGGATGATTATGAATTTTGAAGGTATTTTTCCTTAGTACTGGGATGTCTAGTTTATGGTTCCATGTTGCTCTGCATGGCTGTTCAGGAGAACTACTTCACTACAGCATTATCTTCTAAATAGGCTTTGACTACAAAACTTGTAATGTTCTGGTGGCACTGGAACAACAGTCACCTGATATTGCCCAGGGTGTTCATCTACACAGGAATGAAGAAGATGTTGGTGCTGGAGATCAGGTAATCACAAGTCATTCACATTAAAAAAAAACAAACAATGGGGAGGGGAGAACCATTGCAAATGTCAGTTCAATAAACGAGGTGCTAATAAACTCGAAAATCTGTTAGTTGCACTGACCATGTTATCCTTTGATAATGGGAAAAAAATCTTCTGAAAAAGTAATGGGGAGAGAGTAAGTATAGTATTTGCTGATACTCTACTTCATAACATTTTTATAATATTTTCTAAATCAAAATCAGTATGGTCGCAGTTCATGAGAATTTGCACAATTTTATCCTAACCTGACATATGACAGAACATACATTTGTTTGCCTACCTTGGTTACATACCATCAAATTAATCTCTGGGTGTGGACACACATACATTTAGCAAGGCTTTCAAAAGGGCAACAGCTGTTACATTCCAAATAGTATGTGTGAATGAGATGAGAAGTATTCAAATGCATCAGAACTGCTCCAGCTTTAACACTGTATCAAGGTTAAATTTGGTCCATGCTGCAGATCTAGGAGTCAACCCTCAGCTGGTGTGGGAAGTTGGGGGAGCTAGGATGATTAGTATTTTAGCACTTGGGAAAGTTGGCATTTTTGGATATGCTTCACATTTCTGTTTGAGTAGATGTAGATTTATAAGATGGATATATGGGCAGCAGGATTTGCCCCATAAGATCAAATAAATAAAACACATACAGTTATATGGGACATCAACCTTTTTGCATGCCTCATGAGATTTTTACGTTGCAGAAAGGTGCTCCAAGCTTAAGCAAGATGGGAGTGTTTGTTAATTGAATCCAATTGTGCCAGAACATTTGTAATTCTCATTTATTTCCCAGAGGCAGAGGCATGTTTTATTATAGTAGGTGTTCCACATAATTAAGACTGTCCAAGTGTACTTCTGTGAGCTGAATAGCATATGTAGATAATTACGGTGTATCCCCAAGACATCAGCACTAGTATAAAAACTCATACTGAAGCCAGTGTGATTGTGTAGTTAACATTTACAGTTGTTCTCATTAGCTGTACTATCTAGTTTATGGTAATGTTGTTGAGAATCATAAAATAGAGCTATCATAGAACCTTGGAAGCAATGTAATATTACTGAAAATCCCCAGGAGGGTTAAATTAACAATTTCATTTTTATCACCACAGGAGAACAAGTTTTCTACTAAATGCCAGTGTATCTAAATATCTTAAGCACTTATATAGCCTCCATCCCTACAATATCTAAGCACATCATAGTCTTTAATGTATTTAGCCTCACAACATCCTATGAAGTAGTGAAGTGCCAATTTCCTCGTCTGTATCATTTTCCGCATTCCCACAGATGGGGACTTGAGGTGCTGAGACTAAGTGACTTGCCCAGAGTTACACAGTTCTGTACCAGAATAGGATTGATTGAAGTTCTTCGAAATCCTAGGAAGGTGCCTTAATCTCTGGACACTGCTTCTTCTCTGCACTACTCAAATTACATATATCACCTGTAATGAAATGCCTGTGAGTGTGGCTAGTACATGCATGTTGCCATGGAATAACAGACACACTATGAATTCAAACCTTAATTTATCTCACAGTAACTTGTTCATGTAGCCATACCTCGAGGAGGAGTGATAACACCAAGGAAATGTCACTATGCATTCTTTCTCTGGTCTGCTCAGACAAAAAACTTCATTACGTTCATTCTAAACCATCTCTCAAACCTTAACCAAGACACCTTACTCATAGAAGAATTCTGCCTGAGAAAGGAACCAAATTGACCCTTAAATATTTCTCAATATTTTATTTCTATTTTTACCTTAAGATAGATCATGTTGTCCAGAGATAGTTCTAGGGCTGACTGAAAATTTTCCATTGAAAATGTTTTTTGATAAAACAGAAATTTTCACAAAAAGTGCCATTTTTGGAGAAGATTTTGGCTTTTTATCAAATACTTGTTAGCCAAAAAACTAAAAACTGTTTGGCCAGAAATTGAAAACGTTGACAGTAGAGACTATTCCAAATGATGTGTTTATGAGTTCTTGATTTAGTTAAAGCCTTCTAAGGTTTGTCTGTAACACGGATGATAAGAAAAGGTTGATCAAATGCCTTGTTTCCTTTTTGTATCCAATGGAATCTTGTGGTTTCCAGCCACTATTGTACTACTATAATCACTGGCTGAAATATATATTTTCCTCTGCCATAATAGGGTTTGATGTTTGGTTATGCAACAGATGAGACAGAAGAATGTATGCCTCTAACAATTATCCTTGCTCACAAACTGAATGCCAAGTTAGCAGAGATGAGGCGCAGTGGTGAACTCCCTTGGCTGAGACCTGACTCTAAAACACAGGTAAGCATTGCTTTCACTTCAGTTTTTTTCTTTCCTGAATACAGGAGTAGTTTGTGGAAGAATGTTTTCAAGCCTTGATCACTTGTGGGCAGGTAATAGCCATTAATTTATCTATCTGATTGACTACAATTATCTTTTACACTTTCTCTCCTCCTCAAATAATGATTATTAACGGTCTGTTTTATTCAGAATGTCACTTCATGTCAGGGGTGGGCAAAATGTGGCTTGTAGGTCAGATGCAGCCTGCCAGACCATTCTATCTGGCTAGCAGGGCGGCTAAAAAATTTAGAAAATTAATATTTATCTGCCCCCGGCTGCCTGTCATGTGGCCCTTGATGGCTTGACAAAACTCAGTAAGCGGCCCTCCGCCCGAAATAATTGCCCGCCCCTGCTTTGTGTGAATTGCCTAGGACTTACAGAACCTAGCCTATTGTATTATCTCATCTTTCTGGTAGCACATAAAGTAGATCCTCTGCTCATGGTATAATCTCTTGGGTGTAACATAAAACTGTTTGCATGCACCTAGATATCTGAGACAAGGTATTGTATAGCAGTGGAGGAATATTTATCTCTGGTGTACAAAGACCCAGGTGTTTAGGGTTAGGAAATCTTAAGGCTTTGTTTTTGCCTGTAAATTTTAGGACTGAAATTTTCAAAGGAGCCTAAGGATTTTAGTTTCAATGGTACTAAGAACCTACTTAGGCTCCTTTTGAAAATCTCCACCTAAATAAAGGGTTTTGCTAGGGAGTGAATGATGCAAAAGGGTAAAATACTCCTTTTGTGCATAGCTTTTTTAGCCTGAGTCACGACCATGGGCATGTTCCCAGGAGTGCACAAGTGTGGTTTGCGGCGCCACAAACCCACCTATGGCACTGCAAACCACATGTGCACATGTTCACCATGTTGCTAATTTGCAGTGTAGCATTTTTTTTGACAATGGGATCTCCAAAACTGCCCCCCAAAAAGTGGTGCGGTGCATGTGGCTGCAGCATGAGCCACCCAAAATCAGTCTGGCTGGCCAGAGACATGCTGTAGCTGCTGGCCAGGCTTCATGTGCCTGGATTGTCCACTGCTGTAGCCCTAGGAGGCCCCCCCAACTCCAGGTAAGCAGCTACCTGTTCCTTATGTATTAAGGCCCAGTATCTGGTATAGAATGGCAATTCATCATACAATCATTTCTTGTTTCCCCCTTGGTTCTATTTCAGGTCACTGTTCAGTATGTCCAGGAAAAAGGAGCCGTGATCCCAGTCCGTGTTCACACCATTGTGATATCTGTGCAGCATGATGAAGGCATTTCACTGGAGACTATGCAGAAAGCTCTGAAGGACCGTGTGATTTCAGCTGTAGTTCCTGCCAAATACTTGGATGAGAAAACTGTTTATCACCTTCAGCCCAGTGGGCGTTTTGTTATTGGAGGGCCACAGGTATGTGGTTATTTCTTATATCTTGATTCTTCCACCAGTTTGCCCAGCATATGTTTCTAACATAAGAAAATAATGCTGCAACTTTTAAATCAGTGACAGTTTTATTTATTTAAATGGGAACAGAACCAAGTGCTTAATGCACTGTATTCCAAAGGAACCTTTGAATATCCTGTCATATTCATGGTGTAATCTCAGGGCCCCTGCACATAAGAAACTTAGGTCAAATATTGTTGGGTTCTGGGCTCCAATAGCTCCTGTTCATTTCAGCATCTCACAAGATTACACCCTCAGTGGGTGTGTCTGTATGTGCATTATCACACTTTAATTAATGTGCATTAAATCTAGTACCCCCATTGTGAGGTACTGGGAAAATATGCATTAGCCTACCTTAATGCACATTAACTGAAGAGCATGGGGTGTCTATACTTGTGCTCGAGGGTGAAGGGGAGGGGCACTTTAATTGGAGCTACTCTGAGAATACTCAGAAAGTTCTGAGAGCCACTCTAATTAAAGCGCCCACAGCATCACATGTATTCAGCGTCCCGCACTTCAAAATGGTGGTGGGAGTGCTTTAACTAAAGCTCATCAAATGAGCTTTAAAGCATCCTCACCGCCATTTTGAAATGCGAGGATGCTGAATACTCATGATGAAGAGGCTGCTGGAGCATGCTAATTAGCACGTTCCAGCAGACACTGCAGACTAGATTAATCAAATCTGCTGTGACGTGTGCTAATTAGCACTTGTTGGAGCAGAGGTCCATCATGTGTATAGGTGCCCATGGTTTTTAAGTGATGCTTAATGTGCATTAAGATAGGTAGGCTGATGCACATTAAAGTGCACATGTAGATGCACCCAGTATGCTCACAAGAGAAACACCCATCAAACTAAATGGGATGTCCAAGTGTTTATCTACTGTTTGCTGGGAGGCTTGAATTTCAGATTTGTGCAGCAGACAGTTCTGTAAGAAGACAATGAGAGCTGCAGGTGCTTAACATCTCTGAAAATCCAACCTGAGGTGGGCATCTCTTAGAGAACAAAAGGAATGAGGGCTTTGTCTGACTAAGATCTAGGAGTCAGGATTTAGGGCTTGATCATGATAGAAGCTAGTGGCTAAACTCTTCATTCACTGCAGGAACAGACCATTGGTCAAAGATGTATTTTTAAAATATCTTTTGATTTTACTGTTAGTTCCACTTTCCCCTTTGATTCTTCTTTCTTTAATTATGCCAGTAGCATTTCGATCCTTCACTTAAAAGGGACATTCCTAAATTTTATTTTGGTCCCAGGCAGATGTTTTAATAGGAAACTCCTAAAATGACTGTTAACTTGGCATCTTAGGATTGGCTCCAGAAGTTTTCAGGTAGCAAGTACAAATGTTGAGTAGAAGCATTTCTTAGAAAGACTGAGCAAACCTTCACAGAAAACCTGAGACAATATTTGTTCAGTGCTATTAACAATGGGGAAAATGGAAATATAGATATTTGCAGATAGTATCAGGAGTGTACAGCATGTTGCTAAAATTAATTAATCATTCTGCCAAATGAGAAATTTTTACTAGAAATATTTTATTAATGATAATAGTATAAGCAAAAGGAAACTATACACCATTAGCATCCTACCTGGCATAATCCCCACTGGCAATAATTAGCCTTATAAACAAGTATATGAAGCCCACTGTGGCAACCATTATAAATTGCTGTTTTCTTCTATATTTATGGTGTTCTGAATAGTCTCAAATAGATCTAACATCACAAACAAAACAAAACAAAAAAGCAAAAAGGAAAGGCAACAAAACTGGATTAGAAGCCTGGCCTTTTGGGAATCCGAATCAATTTCCACTCCTTCCTCAGTGATACTTCATGTTTTCAAAGCTAAGGATGACTTTCATTTTGGCCTTGGCAAGTTAAGAATTACAGTAGAGTTCTGAGTTGGAACATGGTTATAGCTTTGAAGTTCTAGGAAATATGCAAAGCAAAGGGTTTTTGTGGTATCTTTTATTAGACCAACAGTATAGTTAGGAGAGATGTTGAACAAACTGCCAGGCACAAAGTACTCTTCTTCAAATCTGGGACAGAAGCAAGTGCAGCCTAAGTTAATACTAGATAAAGCAATGTCTTATGTTTAACTCTGTATGTAAAAGAGGCACTTAAGGGAATGTGGGAGGACTTTAAACTTGGGGCAAAGAAAAGTTATCAGAAATAGTTTCAAAGCAAGAGAAATTTAGTTGAATGAATAACCTAATTATGGAAAAGAACAAGGCCATTCAGCGGGGAAAAGTATTCTTGCAGATCCAGCAGGGGCAGGGGAGGGCAGCCACAGGCAAAGGTGTGGA